CTTGGAAAATCTGAAAAAGTCAGGGAATTTTTTTCATCGAGTCTGCTGGACACCCTGGTATTATATTTGATCTGATTTTTTATTTTTATAAATGACATTTTGAGCTACATATTTTTTTCACAAATCGCAGCTATAAATTTTCCTTTATCATGAATTTTCCATGGAAACAGAAACGCCACAATGTCCTTATAAATGCATTTAAACATGATTTATGTAGGTAGCGAGGATTCGATTACAAGGATTTCGTATATTTGTCTTAAAGGGACAGCAGTAAATCCGAAATGTCAGTATATTTATTCAAGACAAAAGGACGAGGCTTTTAGAGTTTCGTGTTCTTGTGCGATAAACTAACTACTTAAGCGTGAAAATAAACCTCACTTCTGGAGTAAGTATTTCATCCGCGGAAGAGAAAATCGTTAACATTGTAATGAAAATAAATCTCATCGCAGTATTTTTAAATACAGCGTTGAAAATAAGTGAAAAGACATTTTGAATAAAAGTCCAGGGAGAAGAAATTTATATACTGCGGCGTCTCTTTTCGCGTGAAAAAGTCTCCAAGATATAAAGAGCAGCTTTACTGTCAGTGCAAGAGGGTAAGAAGGAATAAAAGAGCATTTTCGCGGAGTCGATATGGGAAGCCCCATCAAACTAACTGCTCCCTCTTATAGTTTGTAATACTCGTGAACCTGCTCGACCAGGTCGAGCCACATCCTGCGCGTCGTCATTTCCGCAGAAGCCAGCCGACTGCTGCTGTCCTCTCGACGCTCCTCGCAATATATATTGTATATTAATAATATCATATTTCCGTTAAAGTGATTACAAACATTTATTTATAAAATTTATTTATTAAAATATTTATCAAAATAATTTATTCTAGATTTTTATAAACATTTGTTCCACTCACATAAATTTAAAAATTTAATGATAAAAAAATTTATTCCAGATTTTTATAAACATTTGTCCGACTCACATAAATTCAAAAAATTTATTTATTAAATGTTTTATTTAATTATTTATAAACAAATTTATTACAGATTTTTATAAATATTTATTTATTCTGAGCTTGCATTTTTTAAAACAGTCAATTTTAATTTTTGTTTCTTTGCCAAGTAATCTTACGAATATAAAAATTTTACATGATTCTTTTTCAGAAATCAAGGAGGGTTTCTTATTATACTTTTCTAAAGAGGGAGATATTTATTTTTTTTTAATATTAATAAATATCCTTTTTATTAGTGAAAAATAACCATCAAGTTTCATGTTTTTAATTTGTCTGAAATTTGAGAGAAAAAAGAAAAGTATGACTCCTCAGGGAGAGATATAAAAATATATGTTTATATAATAAGCGCTCCTTAATTTTCGACGAAGAATCATCTCCAAAAATTGTTTAGATACGCTCTATATTTATAAATAATGCAGTTTTTAATTTTGTGAATTTATGACTATAAAAGAGTATTAGCTCATGAAACTCTGTTTATATTGTATTGTTTGCAAACTAGTGACGTATATGACATGTCAATATTTTGCTTTTCTCTCTCTTTCGACCTCGATGCGCCCCCGGGAATGTAAATTCTGATTTCACTGGGATTTGCGATATCCCTGGCGAGATACTTGAGAGCCTGAAGGTTCAAGGCTAACTATACTTTCAACCGCTGCTCGCGGCTCTCTTTCTCTCGTGTAGCTTCGGGAGAAGTTATGCTGGATGTCGGCGTATGGGAATATTATCTAGCGGATGTAATAATTTATTAATCGCGCCGCAATGATGTCTTAATAATCCTGCAGAGCGCATATAGAATCCTACATATAAAAATAATTAATAACGTAATTGAAAATGTATGTTGCGTTGATTTTATTATCGCGAGTACATATATCAAAATCGTTAAATAACACGTAGATCGTTAATAGGCAAAGATCAAAATTCTCTAAAAAAAAAAATATATATATATATATATACACAATAAACTTTAAAAATAAATAAATATTTTTAAAAAATTTATTTAAAAATTTTAAAATAAGTAAATATTAAAAAAAATTATTTAAAAATTTAAAAAATAAGTATAAATATGTTTAAAAAATTAAACAACTAAATTTGAATATCTCGCTCTACTTTGCTAACCGATAAGAGAAAGGGCTGTTCTCGTCGTCCAAATCGAATATATTCGAAACGCACCGGTATTACATTACATGTGGCAGACGTTATTTTATCTGCTTCTTCCCTGTTCACCCTTGGGAATTAAAATTCTCGCCGCCCCACGGAGAAGAGACTCCGAAGCCCGATGTGCCGTTTGTGCAGGCGATTACCTGAGTCAGCTGTCTTAGCTAGCAGCGTCTTTGCAGAACCTGATGGCATATAAGAGGCGGGAAAAAAGCGTGGGTTCTTTCCTACGGGCATTTTCGAACTACCGATTCCCCAGGGAAAGAGAAGAAAGACGCCTCAACTTTTGGAAGCTGTGGATGGATATCCATCTCGAATATTTCATCATAAACCAATTTCGCAAAATACTCGTGATTTTTGACAGATGATTTGACAGGGATTTCATTAATTACGATATCGGAATAAATCAGAGCATTCTCACCTGTAATCATCGACATGTGGCTTGAACGTGAATTACTGCATATTAACAATGGATTTTAATTTTTTTATGAGATATAATATTGGAGGTATGAATATTTTAAAATTTAATACAAGAATGCAAAATGTTTTTTTTTTTAGTTTCCGGTTGAAATTAGCTATGATAATGCAATTGCGTCCGAGGAATAAAAATTTAAATTAAAATGTGTCGACACGCCTCTGAGAAGTCGACACCTGAAAGAAAACCATTGTTACGCGCGGTGATAAAATCGTGGTTTTCTTTATTTTACGATTGTATAACGGAGCTCGGAAAAAGCGAGTTAAATTTTATTTACGTGACAATTTTGTTAGTTGTTCTTTCATTTTATTCTTTTTTTTACCAAATATATTGTTAAATTATCTGGATAGAAAGAACATTGATCTAGTGTAGAAAAAAGTATTTTGTTGCACAAGAATTCTTAGCTTTCATGAGACTGATTTGTCACTTTGAATTTGCTCAGTGTGGAAAAATGTAAATTCTTTTTTTCTATTAGAGGAGATAAAGTAGTTTATTTATGGCAGCTACATTTATTTATTTTTTTTCATGCACTGTGCACTATTTCTTAATCATTTCATGATTTCGAATAAATTTATTTAAACAGCACCATTGACACAATTTCTTTGAAACTAATAAATATTAATTTGCAATAACACATTGTGTTATTTTAACATTTTTTCAGTTCTTTTAATAATTTAACATTTAATTAAATTAAATATTTAACACAAAAATTTTCACAAGGACCGTTTTTACCAAGAAAACACAAATTTGTCTACTGTGAATCGATAATTATAAACGTAGCGTTAAAAAACGCGCGATGAAAAATGCCACGTTCCATACACATTCCACAGGTACTCTTTGAAGAGCATTTACACTCAGCTCGTGCACACTATCTATCCTTCATTACAGCCTGAAGGAGGTGGACCAAAGTGGATAGCTTCGAGCGACTCATTAACTCCGGCTCTTGCACCTTCGTCTTTGGATGTTACCTTGTTTGTTGCCTCCGTGAAAAACGTTTAAGAACCGAAAGAAGACGCCGAGAATAAGAGGGTCTTTGTGTTGCAACGCCACCCGGAACTTAATCTCTCTTCTTGGATGCAACTCGCTTTCGGCACCTTCCTACGATTCGTTTCCCACGGTGCATCAGGCCAGGCAAACCCCGGGAATGTTTTCCCCACAAAGTGAAAACCTTCTCAACGCGTTCGTCTCTTCATCAACTCGATCTTTTCTACCGCTCTCTTCAAGTTTCGTCTCCGCTATACTCCGGGAAATCGAGATGGAATGTTGTCTTTTACAATTAGCGTCCTTTCGATAGGTAGAGAGAGAGAGAGAGAGTTGTCAGAGATAATAACGCCGTGATAATGTTAACACGTTTATTACATTCGATATCGAGAGAGAGAGAGAGAGAGAGAGAGAAATCGATTTACATACTTTCTCGAAGAAATAATTATTTTATTAAATTTTTTGTTAAAAAAAATCTGGAAGAAAGTAGAAGGAAATCTCTTAACTCTTGCTTGCCCGTCGATCAAATTTAATGGCAGCAATGTATTAAAATGGAAATATGATAAATTGCGGATCTTACGTACATTGAAAAAAAATTATTTAATCAATGAATATTTATTTCAATACCGCCTAATAAATCATTTATTTATTTGTTTCGTGTAAATGATTTATTAAGCGGTATTGAAATAAATATTTATTCGAATTCAATAAATTTTGTTTTCAGCGTACGACGCGAAAAAATATCGTAATCATCGACAGTATGCTTTTGCAATTGCAGCAACTCGAGCGTGAGAGCATTACATTGCATATCCCCCCCAGTAATGTACCGGGATTTTAATTTTATTCAATAACCCGAAGCAGATTTTCCATGTCGCACTAATGACATAATTATACCCATTTCCAATCTTCTTAATCTTATTATCTTATTATGTTGGCAATCGCTATTGCAATCCGAGGAAACAATAATCGCGATTTCGTCACTTAAAGTAGAGTACCGAGAAAGTTGTTTTCTTGAAATGCATACTGTATAAACCCTCTTAATAGATATTCCTAATGAATAAGGATATTTCCCTTTTTACGTGATACTTTTTAGAATATAATAAATTAATCAAATAAAATTATAAGTTTCAATTGATATTAAAAATAATACACTGATAAAAAACACCCCATTAAGTATATATCAATGCATATTAAGAATATTTAATAAGAATATCTCCTTAGAGACAATTTTCCTTTTAAATTAAAAGGATCCTTTTGGCGCCAATTTTCATGGAAGATAAAAATATAATTTTTCGGCGAGCGAATAATCTCCACCTAAAAATCTTTCAGTCCGAGAGTCCTTAAATCCTCGGTAGATTAGAGAAGGCTAAAAATGGAAAGGACACTCACGGACTGGTATCTTCTTGGGATCGACGGTGCCGAGTCGCTCCTCGATCGCGTCGATCTTGCGACGCAAGTGAGTGCTCCTCTCGGCGACCTGGCTCAGCTCGGCGGTGAGACTCGCGAAGATGTCCTCCGCGACGGTCAGCAATGAGGCGAGCTGCCTGAGGGAGCTGGTTAGGGCCCCGTTCGCCACCGCCTCGAGCTCGGCGCCCACCGGCCACCCGGGGTGTGAACCCGCGGGCACGTGACCGCGGCACAGGTGCCGCGGTTCCACTTTTCGCATCACAAACGGCATCACGACGACGAGGACGACGACAACGAGGAGGACAACAACGAACCTGCACACTCGCGCATAACACACTTTACATCAACGTCGGGGTCTCCCGCATCCATCACCGGGGCACCGCGTCGCGGTCGCCGCGCGCGGTTTCGCGAGTGCGGCCGAATCCCGCCGCGGTTCCGACGCGGCGCCGACTAGCCGACTCCATCGGACCGCACTCTTCAACCGCCTTCACTTTTGTATCCCTCTCTCTCTTGTTTCTCTTTTTTCTCCTTATCCTCTCGGCACTTTCACTCCGCGCACTCTCGACCGAACCGCAAGAAATTCGATGCGGATCAGGAGCTCGGGTGCAACACCATTTTGAACCGCGGGATTTTTTCGCGCGCGAAAGGGGATTCTCTGCGGGTAGGTTCGCGAGAGGTGAATGTGAATTAAAAGAAAAATAATAAAATACGACGAGGCGAGAAGGTCGGTTCGAACGTTCCGCGCGTCGCGACGACGCTACGCGAAGTGCCGGCCGGTTTTGTGAACAGTCGCCGACTAGCCGGCTGGTTCTCCCATTCAAGCCTTCGTGCGAAAACCGCCTTTCTTCCCAAGATGTGCCGCCATCGCCATCTGCCGACTCTACCTGCGCCAGAGAGGTATCTACTGCCGCTACATTGCTCTCTCACTTTATATATTTAAGGGGATTCTGCCGCTGTTCTGTTTCACCGACTGTAAGTTAGGTTAGGTTCACTTTTTATTGAATATACAGATTGAATAATCCTCCACAATGAAAATGCTGAATCTTTTGATACAGGCTTTTAATCTCATTTTTATTACTTCTGTATTATTCTTTCATGTCATCTCTATTGGGAGCGCCATATTTTGTGCACAAATAAACTGCAGAACTTTTATATTAAATAACTATTGTTATGAATTGATGCAAGAGGCCAATAGAAAAACTGTAATTTTTTAATTTTTATTGTTCTTTTTATACAAAGTTACAGCGCTCCCCGTTCATTATTATCAGTACTTTAATTGTGGAGAAGGATTTTTCAATCTGTATAGCCAAAAAGAAAAGCCCTTGAACTCAAAGTCGGTAAAACAGTCATGGTCATTTTACGTTTAAAATATATAATAAAAATATAGAATATATTTAAACGCATTAATGTAGATTCATGAAATATATGCACATGAGAAAATATGAATATAAAACACAAAGTTTCTGCATTGTGTTGACTTAACCAACAATGAATAATGTAGAGACTGAAGCATCTTCGGAAGCTACACATTCTAAGTGTTGCGTATTCTGTAACTTGAAACTGAGTTGTTGAAGAAGCATCTTATCCTTCGGCAGGTTTTGTCGATATTTTACACACTAACCGTAAGTGTTGATTCAAATTTCAGCAATAGATGCCAGAAGATTATCGCGTTTCTCATGAAAAGAAGAAATTAAAAAAAGAATGATATAACATATGCATTAATTATTTTCTATATGCAAGCAAGATTAATATTTCACTCGAAATTGAGCAGAAAAATTAAAAAACATTTTATCGCGTGCATTAAAGTTATTTTATTTATTAATTTTTTATTTTCTCGATTAACGCGAGATCTTCGATAGATGTCAATTGATAAAAAAAACCGACGATGTATGAGCGAGAAATTGTTGAACCCTATACATAATAGTGCATCAGCGACGGAATATTTGTGACATGTAATCGCAGCGGAAGTTGATGATATCAAATCACCGAAGCCAATAAAAACTAGAACGTCCGAGTGACATTCTTCGCTTTTAGAATGAACCGGATATCCCGATCAATGACTACAATATGCGGCACCCGTAACACGCCCACAGGGCTAAAAATATTTAAAAAGAGTACTTTTTTTCTGTACAAGCTTCTTTATATTTCATATTAATCGCAAAGAGTAACAAGATACATCCCCAATTACACATCCATCTCTCCCGTATAGAGAAACTTCAGCGTCCTGCTATTCTAACTTAGGAAGAGACGTGTCCTGCATACGCGGAAACTATCGATCCGTGATAGCCGCCGCCGATCGAGTTAACGAACGTCGTAATTCGCGTTTATTTTCATAGCCAACTAAACAAAAAGTTACAGCGGCGGTAACAACTCGACGAGTGCGCACAACGCTCGTTAGCGTAACAAATTTAACGGACAATACCGGGGAACCATATAGAGACGCGGGCGACTTCGATTCGGCGGTAAAGTAAGCGCCACTCGGAATTGGGCTCGATGTAATTGATAGTCCAAACTTATATTATCTCCTTGGGCAGGTTCGGCGTAAATGGGCGAGGATTAGCGGCGCTCTTCTTTTCGCCTCGCCTTAATTTGCGCGCCGCATGTGCGCAATTTCACACGATAAAATGGAACTCACTTACTTAGCGCGAGTTCTAAGGGGATGACTCTCTCCGGAGATCTATTTTTCCCCGTAAAACGCGTCGATCTACCTAATTTTGGCGGAATGTGAAAAGTGTCAAACGAGCGAGATAACAGATAGATGCCGCACAAATTCTCAAAGAACGTCCGTGTGTCTTTGCAGTTTTTTGGTGTTAATTTGCAGAATCCAAGTAAATTTTGCAACGCAAAGTTCTTTACGTTTAAAGCCACGGATACTTAATTTTCAATTCTATTTTTGTTAATATTTTCACATTTGTTCAATGCAATATATAATTTAATGAGCGAAATAATAGATAGATGCCATATAAATTCTTAAAGAACGTCCGTGTGTCTTTAATTTACAGAATCCAAGTAAATTTTGCAACGCAAACTTCTTCGCATTCGAAGCCACAATTATTTAATTTTCAATTTTATTTTTGTTGACATTTTCACATTTGTTCAATGCGATATATAATTTAATGATATTAAACGAGCGAAATAATATAGATAGATGCCATATAAATTCTTAAAGAACGTCCGCGTGTCTTTAATTTACGAAATTCAAGTGAATTTTGCAACGCAAACTTCTTCGCATTTAAAGCCACAGATTTTTCAATTTTATTTTTGTTAACATTTTCACATTTTTTTAATGCGACGTAGAATTTAATGATACTAAACAAAAGCGAATAATTCGAATGATTTTGAAAATGAATTTAAAAATGCAGGAATCTCTCTGTGACATTTTTACGTCACCGGAAATTAGTTGAAACTTGAAACACTGTACGAGACTCGAAATTAATCGGCTATGTTTGGTGTTCATTGGGATGACCATTGAATCTGAAAGAGTACCTACTTACTTATATAGGATAAGATTATACATATATTATGTCTGCCACAATGTAGCGATTGAAAAAGATTTTAAGGACCGAACGTTATGTTGATCTCCAAGCAAACAGCTTGTATATGCTTTTTTGGCCGGACTTTATCAGAATGGTACTTGAAAATGATTAGACCGCGGACTACTTAAGGATGCTAAAATCGTGTTCCTTAGTTCTTTATTATCCAGCGCGTATCTCAGTTCTTCGTGAAAGAGATGCATGCTTAGTGATCGGCATGAATCAAACGGATTCCACGAAAAAGTACAGTCGAAATAAAAACTGGAGACCTTATAGAAATTTTTCTCTCATTTTATTTTCTTTCAAATAAATTTTTACCCTACTGTTTAACGCCGATATAAATTTACTATTCGACGTTGAGATTTTATTAAGCATGAATTACATGTGCAATTTATAAGAAAAAAAAATATTTATTATATATTTATATTAAAATTTTCCTTGAATCTATTATCATTTTCCTTTATAAGAAAATATATACTTCAATTTTTTTAATGCTGCCATTTCTTCTCCAAGTTCTTATTTAAACATTTGTCCGAAATGTTATAGAAATGTAATAGAACTATATATAGAACATATAATTTTTAAATATAGTTATCAAAGAAAGAGCAGAAACTAATTAAAAAAATTCCATTAAAGCGAATTGACGCAGAATCAGCTGATAAAATCATGAATACATTAACATATATTGATATATTAATTAATATAATATATTAAAATTTTCCTAGAATTTTTCAACGGCAATCGCTCTCCGAATTTGAGTTAATTCCACTAGGGAAATTTCGCCCATTAAATTTTCCGTTTATTATCACGAGCTCTTAACTGGAAGTAATTTATAATCGTGCTAAATCGCATCGAAAACGCAACGACACAAAGTTGCACGAATCGAACATTGTTTGTACGATTATTCGATCATGTAAGGATCTTTAAGGATCCATTCATCTTCTATTCTTAGCACGTTCTACCATACATATGCTGTTTTTAGCTCATGCGCAAACAACATTGAGCAATGGGTGCTCTCGGTCGGGATATCCGAGCGGACAATCGAAGGTTCAGAGTGCATAATTACACGCGTTGACAGCTCCTTAAGTTAGCTGGGGATCCCCGACTGCCCACACAGGACGAACCCGAATACGTAGCGCAACGTTGTTTGGTCCTTAAAGCCGGCCGCGTTTCTTGTTTCAACCGGGTTGCAATGGATTTACCTGCTGCCCTTTCCTTCCGCCGACTCCTTTTTTACCAATGGAAACGAAGAGAGAGAAATATATCTTCCGCGCGCACGGGGTTTATTGTCAACAGACCTCGGACAATGGCCGAATTGAAGGACAGGCTGAACTACGCGAAGGAGTCCAAGGGTTTCCGGAGCTATTCGGAGCTCGGCAACATTGTGTATTCGCGGAATAATTAAGGGCGCGCAAAACGCTCGAGGAATCTGTTGTGACGGAAGGTGCATTTAATTGAGATGGTATTTTTTTATTTTATTTTATTTTATTTTATTTTTTTTTGTTACTTTTTTTCCGGACGATCGAACGTTGCAACTTGGAGCACGACGTCGATAAATTGCGTCACAAGTATATGAATTTTCAGAAAAAGTTGTTGCTTGATATTCCGCTCCTTTGTATCCGTCGTCGACAAGGAGATTCCTCTTCTTTCGAAAAAAAAAGTTAATAAATTAGAAAGTATTAAAACACGCATTTACGCGCAGCTAAAAATACCCGGAAGTTTTTCGAGACTTAATAAATTTATTCCGAGAAACACGCATTCGTCACTCGAAGCTTGTTTAATATTTTTACGATCATTGACAACGACTTGAAGAAATTTGCGTGTAATATAATATTTTGTACTCTCTCTCTCTCTCTTTCTTTTCACGCGATATTAAACGAGAAAGGAGACGAAGAAATATCTTTGTGGCGATATTCGAGATTCTGCGAGAAGAGGATCCGAACGTCTAAATATCTCCGCGTTCGGTTGCGAGATGCAACAATGTTGTATTCAGGAATGTTTCATCGGGGTTCACCAGGGGGGGCTTTTGGGGGGTCGGCTGTACCATTCGATTGGCACGCAGACTGGAAAACAACAGGCCGAGTTATTTCGATCGGACCCATTCGTTGGGGAATCTTCGGATTCTACAAGTCGCGACACATCGCGATTTATACGTACGAAAAAAATACCGGAAGGGTTGCCGCAAAATCGAGGCGAGGAAAGCAAGAGAGGAAGAGTGAAGCAGGGTGTCCAGCGAGTTGAATGAAAAAAATTCCCAGATTTTTTCAGATTTTTCAAGATAGAAATTCATTTTTTTCCCTGACTTTTTAGTATTATTTTTTTCCAAATATTATATAATTTGCATATGTCTATATGGTAAATCAATTAAATGTTAAATCAGGAAATCCTTCACGGGGAAAATTTTCTTTTAGAATTTACCCAAATCATGGTAATCGTGGGATAATACGGTGTCGGAAGAATTTTATATAAGAGTTTCTCTGATTAATATTTATCACAATAAAAATATTAATATGTTCATAGTAAATTTTACTCTATTCTCTCTGTGTTGAGATATTTTTGTCAACAATGAAAAGATTCGGAAGTTGAAACAAAAATTTAAATTAATTATATAATCTTTTATCTCTATTAAACACATTGAAATAAAATAACACGACAGTATAAATCAGTGGTTTTTAACCTTTTTGAAGTTATGGAACACTTTTGATTATAAAAAAAATTTGCGGAACACCAAAAAGATAATCACAAAAGTATGCATGAACATATTTTTATTAAAAATTATACAGTACAAATTATGTAACAGTAAAAAAATTTAAATTTAAATTTAAAATATAATATTCATAAAATTAAAAAAAATTATAGTAGTTTTTTCTACGTAGGTATGCCGTGCTTTCATAATTTCGCGGAACACCGGTTAAGAACCACTGAAATAAATTAACGAACACGCTGTCGTAGATGAATCGATTTTTAACAACACAGAAAATTAACGTGCTGGGAATCAAGAAAAAGTTTAGATTTACCTAATAAAAAATTTCAAATCATTGAAACAAATGTAGAATAATGTGAAAAAATCCAGATAAATAGTAAATTAATTTTTCCCTTTTAATATCATTTTTAGTATTATTTTTCCAAATATATAATTTGTATATATCTATATGATGAATCAATTAAATGTTAAATAATGAAATCCTTGAGATATTTTTGTCAACAATGAAAAGGTTCGGAAGTTAAAACAAAAATTGAAATCCATTATATTATACCATCTGCATGTACGATAATCGAAACAAGCATGTCACTATAAACTATTTAAATAATCACCTTTTTTATTTACATATTATATCAAATTTTTAAGTTCTGTCTCTATCAAACACATTGAAATAAAATAACGCGACGATGAAAATATAAATGAACGAACACGCTGTCAAGGAAAAGTTTCTATTTATCTAATAAAAAATGTCAAATCATTGAGACAAATGTAGAATAATGTGAAAAAATCCAGATAAATAGTAAATCAATTCTTTCCCTTTAGTATCATTTTTAGTATTATTTTTCCAAATATATAATTTGTATATATCTATATGATGAATCAATTAAATGTTAAATAATGAAATCCTTGAGATATTTTTGTCAACAATGAAAAGGTTCGGAAGTTAAAACAAAAATTGAAATTCATTATATTATACCATCTGCATGTACGATAATCGAAACAAGCATGTCACTATAAACTATTTAAATAATCACCTTTTTTATTTACATATTATATCAAATTTTTAAGTTCTGTCTCTATCAAACACATTGAAATAAAATAACGCGACGATGAAAATATAAATGAACGAACACGCTGTCAAGGAAAAGTTTCTATTTATCTAATAAAAAATGTCAAATCATTGAGACAAATGTAGAATAATGTGAAAAAATCCAGATAAATAGTAAATCAATTCTTTCCCTCTTAGTATCATTTTTAGTATTATTTTTCCAAATATATAATTTGTATATATCTATATGATGAATCAATTAAATGTTAAATAATGAAATCCTTGAGATATTTTTGTCAACAATGAAAAGGTTCGGAAGTTAAAACAAAAATTGAAATTCATTATATTATACCATCTGCATGTACGATAATCGAAACAAGCATGTCACTATAAACTATTTAAATAATCACCTTTTTTATTTACATATTATATCAAATTTTTAAGTTATGTCTCTATCAAACACATTGAAATAAAATAACGCGACTATGAAAATATAAATGAACGAACACGCTGTCAAGGAAAAGTTTCTATTTATCTAATAAAAAATGTCAAATCTTTAAGACAGATGTAGAATAATGTGAAAAAATCCAGATAAATAGTAAATCAATTCTTTCCCTTTAGTATCATTTTTAGTATTATTTTTTCCAAATATATAATTTGTATATATCTATATGATGAATCAATTAAATATTAAATAATGAAATCCTTGAGATATTTTTGTCAACAATGAAAAGGTTCGGAAGTTAAAACAAAAATTGAAATCCATTATATTATACCATCTGCATGTACGATAATCGAAACAAGCATGTCACTATAAACTATTTAAATAATCACCTTTTTTATTTACATATTATATCAAATTTTTAAGTTCTGTCTCTATCAAACACATTGAAATAAAATAACGCGACGATGAAAATATAAATGAACGAACACGCTGTCAAGAAAAAGTTTCTATTTATCTAATAAAAAATGTCAAATCATTGAGACAGATGTAGAATAATGTGAAAAAATCCAGATAAATAGTAAATTAATTTTTCCCTTTAGTATCATTTTTAGTATTATTTTTTCCAAATATATAATTTGTATATATCTATATGATGAATCAATTAAATGTTAAATAATGAAATCCTTGAGATATTTTTGTCAACAATAAAAAGGTTCGGAAGTTAAAACAAAAATTGAAATCCATTATATTATACCATCTGCATGTACGATAATCGAAACAAGCATGTCACTATAAACTATTTAAATAATCACCTTTTTTATTTACATATTATATCAAATTTTTAAGTTCTGTCTCTATCAAACACATTGAAATAAAATAACGCGACAATGAAAATATAAATGAACGAACACGCTGTCAAGAAAAAGCTTCTATTTATCTAATAAAAAATGTCAAATCATTGAGACAGATGTAGAATAATGTGAAAAAATTCAGATAAATAGTAAATTAATTTTTCCCTTTAGTATCATTTTAGTATTATTTTTTCCAAATATATAATTTGTATATATCTATATGATGAATCAATTAAATGTTAAATAATGAAATCCTTGAGATATTTTTGTCAACAATGAAAAGGTTCGAAAGTTAAAACAAAAATTGAAATCCATTATATTATACCATCTGCATGTACGATAATCGAAACAAGCATGTCACTATAAACTATTTAAATAATCACCTTTTTTATTTACATATTATATCAAATTTTTAAGTTCTGTCTCTATCAAACACATTGAAATAAAATAACGCGACGATGAAAATATAAATGAACGAACACGCTGTCAAGAAAAAGTTTCTATTTATCTAATAAAAAATGTCAAATCTTTAAGACAGATGTAGAATAATGTGAAAAAATTCAGATAAATAGTAAATTAATTTTTCCCTTTTAGTATTATTTTTTCCAAATATATAATTTGTATATATCTATATGATGAATCAATTAAATATTAAATAATGAAATCCTTGAGATATTTTTGTCAACAATGAAAAGGTTCGGAAGTTAAAACAAAAATTGAAATCCATTATATTATACCATCTGCATGTACGATAATCGAAACAAGCATGTCACTATAAACTATTTAAATAATCACCTTTTTTATTTACATATTATATCAAATTTTTAAGTTCTGTCTCTATCAAACACATTGAAATAAAATAACGCGACGATGAAAATATAAATGAACGAACACGCTGTCAAGAAAAAGTTTCTATTTATCTAATAAAAAATGTCAAATCTTTAAGACAGATGTAGAATAATGTGAAAAAATCCAGATAAATAGTAAATTAATTTTTCCCTTTTAGTATCACATTTTTAGTATTATTTTTTCCAAATATATAATTTGTATATATCTATATGATGAATCAATTAAATATTAAATAATGAAATCCTTGAGATATTTTTGTCAACAATGAAAAGGTTCGGAAGTTAAAACAAAAATTGAAATCCATTATATTATACCATCTGCATGTACGATAATCGAAACAAGCATGTCACTATAAACTATTTAAACAATCACCTTCTTTATTTATATATTATATCAAATTTTTAAGTTCTGTCTCTATCAAACACATTGAAATAAAATAACGCGACGATGAAAATATAAATGAACGAACACGCTGTCAAGAAAAAGTTTCTATTTATCTAATAAAAAATGTCAAATCATTAAGACGGATGTAGAATGATATAAAAAAATCCAGACAAATAGTAAAATTTCTTGACTCTTCCCTGGCAATTCCAGATTTATCAAATTCCCTAACAAAGCCCGGTTTTCCAGATTTCCATGACCGCTAGACACCCTAAGCGGGAGAAGGGGATGGAAGGGAAAGAAGAGATGCACCGCGTGCGAATTCCCTCCTCGTGGGTTCCTGCGCGCAGCGCCTGAACCCCCTCCCGAAAGGGTGCAGCGTATATACCCCTTTTCCCGCCCACCCGTTAGATGCAACCTGCGAGCCGTCTCTCTCTCTCTCCTTCTGTCTCTCTCCACCACCAGCGACAGTCCACCCCACCCCGGGTTTTCTTGTCCCTACCAAGCCGCCGAGCCACCCACCAACCTCTCCACGCCACTCTGGAGTACCCCGGTACCCTCGATGCATCATTCTTTCTCTCTCCCTCCCACGAGCCTCCGGGTCTCGCCCTCTCTCTCTCTCGCTCCCACGTGTCACACGCTGCCGGCGATCGGCGTCGCAAATTCACTCCTCGCGCACTTCGGCCACACTCGGATGGTTTCGTGCGCCGGCCGGAGGTGGATCGGAGGAATTCGCCAGTACTCCAGTACGCGCCGCGCTGCCTTGCCGGCAAGTTGTATCACGTAGTGACGTAGGTTTTCCTTCCCTCATTTCTCCGTCGCAATACGGATATCCAGAAATTCCTCTCCGAGAAAAAGCTTCTTCTTTCACCAAAGAAGAGGAAAAACCCTCCTCTATCTCTCTCTCTTCCTCGAAGAGGAGCACCAGCTCGCGACCCCGAGGGTGTCCGATGATACCCTCCGGTACCAAGAAGAGGGCGATCATCTCCCAGGAGCAACGAGGGCATCGTCGAAGGTCGTCGCGGGCCCAGAACAAAGTCCCCCGGTCAGCCGGAGGTCACGAGGAACCCACGAGGTGCCGTCACGCTCGCGAGGAGCAGCGATCATCGGCGTCGTGATCGGTGACGACGCAGAGGAGAGCCGCGGACTCGTCATCGGCGCGCCACAGCAGCAGCTCGCGCGGCGGGCCAAGTTTCTATCAAAACATGGCCACGTGACCCCCGGACGGCACCGCTTGTAAACACAGAGTTTGACCACGTGGTCCGCTCCTCCCTCCTTCCCCGTCTATCTATCTATCTCTCTCTCTCTCTCTCTGTTCTTGTCCTCCCTCCCCGCGTTCAACCGCCGTTATCGCCGTCATCGTCGCCGTCGCAGCTCTTCTCCTTCTACGAGCCTCTCGCTCGCTCGCGCGCTCTTTCGGCACGCAGAACACACCGCGGAATCCTCAGTTGGTTCATCGCCGCCGACAGCCGCACGTCATCGCGAGCTCCGAAAGAGTTTCCGCGCCCTTTCATCGTGGCCGATCGTGGCTCGGCTCCATTCGGGTTAGGTGATAATGATGATGATGATGATGATGATGATGATAATAATGATGAAGATGATGATCATGATGATGGTGTGTTGAGAAGCCCCAGGTGAGCGGGCAAGAAAAGACACTCAGCAGCTACACACATATACTCTCGCATCTATACATATACTCTATATAGATATACATCTATATATATATATATATCTGGTGATAGTGCGAAACGCAATCTGGATCATCGGCCCTAGTTTCCTCGATTATTCGGATCACCATCGCGGACTCCAGGTGGACTCGCAACATGATGGATTCGGTGCCGGTCTCGGCGACGGGGACGTTGAACCCGTCGCAGCAACAGCAACAGAAGAAGGGAGTCTCCTTCGAGTTCTCGACCTCGCCGGATCTGGAGACCGGCTTCGAGCCGCAGACCAGGGCCCGGTCCAACACCTGGCCGCTCCCGCGACCGGAGGGCTACGTCGAGGGCAACGCGCCCGCGACGAAGGAGGGCGCGGAGGGCGGCACGCCGCCCCATCAGACCCAGCTGGCCCAGGGTGGTCTGCTGCCGGTGAAGAAGAACTCGTCGAGGAGGAACGCCTGGGGCAACCTGAGCTACGCGGACCTCATCACCCAGGCGATCACCAGCGCGCCGGACCAGCGGCTCACCCTCTCGCAGATCTACGAATGGATGGTCCAGAATGTGTCCTACTTCAAGGACAAGGGCGACAACAATAGCAGCGCCGGCTGGAAGGTAAGTCGAATCTTATGGGACTCTCTTCTCTCTCTATACCCTAATAGCGCACCATGTCCGAAAGACATTCAGAGGATATCCAGAGGATATCCGAAAGACATCCAGAGGATATCCAAAAGACATCCAGAGGATATCCAAAGATACCCGAGGATATCCGAAAGACACCCAGAGGATATCCAAAGATACCCGAGGATATCCGAAAGACATCCAGAGGATGTCCAGAGGATATCCGAAAGACATCCAGAGGATATCCAAAGATACCCAGAGGATATCCTAAGATATCCAGAGGATATCCGAGACATCCAGAGGATATCCAAAGATACCCAGAGGATATCCAAAAGACATTCAGAGGATGTCCTCTGGATATCCAGAAGACATCCTCAGGATGTTCTCTGAACGTCTTTGGGAGATGTGTGCTATTGGGATAGTCTTCTCTAGCGGAAGGTAAATTTTACTCTTGAGAAGATTGAAATTTGTCGAGTGACATTGAAGTGTCTTCTCTTTCGAGATAATTCGTTAATAGAGCGATAGGCAAACGACCGGCAGTAAAGATGTTCGAATTCGCGCGCGCGCGTGTGTGTGTTAACGATTTCGTCCTTGTCTCGGTTTTTTCTTCTTCGTTTTACAAAACGTAAATGCGTAATAAAAATTTTTCTTGAAAACGATGACTCATTCCACGAAACGCGATAAAAGAACTATAGGAATAAAAAAAAAAAAAGAGTCCACGCTTTTTTCCCCGGAAGGTGTCTCTCGACTGTTTGGGTATATTTGAAAATTAATGCAAGAACCGCGCGATTTTTATCACTCTCGGGTAACCCGAGTTCGAGCTAAATGCGCAGGCACGAATGCGTACCGAAGTCGTTCGAGGAGACGCGTTTATAGTGGTATAAAGACTTCCCGTTCTCTGTTGTATGGAAACAATTGTGACACGCGACAGTGCGAAGGTTAGACCGCGAGAATTCATCCGGCAGGAATTTATGCGCACGTAACGATATTTTTCGATGATTCACGTCGCGATATTGCATTACAAATAGACGCTTTTTCGAAAAAAACTTTAGAGAAGAGAACCCGAGTCTATTTCATATGCACATTTAACGCATTCTTCCGTAAACTCAATACTTTACACGCATGTTTAATTATTCGGATCAATTATCTTTTTTTTATGTAATTTCTCGAAATCTTTTTGTTTCGAAAATTATTCCTTCATCAGCGATTGAAATTTATACGACAGAAATTCACATTTTGTGAGAGAGGGATCGATATATTTCTTGATTCATTTCCAATCTAATTTATTTTAATTTGAAAGTTCTAATCTAATTTATAAAGTTTAGTTTAGTATGATTCTCAGTTACAAAAGATGATAAGTTGTCTTTGAAAAAAAAAGAAAAGAAAAAAATTATAGATTGCCTTTCGATTATGAAAATATTACTCATAAATTCTTATTTTACATTTTTTTAATTAATGGAAATAGTGGATATCTCTCGAGTAACTTGAAACTACGCTTCATAATTGATAAGTAGAAGCTTATCTGAAATGATAAAGAAAGGACGGAGCATTCGACACGTTTCTTTCAATAAGAATCGAATCTATTTATTATATTAAAGTAAATTACATATACGCACTTCGTTAATTTTAAAACCGTGACATTATATATATTATTGACATATTATGTAATCTTTCGAGCAAAACAAAGGTCACGCAGTTATCGCAGTACAAACAGAAACACACGACGAAAAAGCACAACTGATTATTATATATACGTACATATATATGTATATAAATATATATGCGAACTAAAACGCGAAATTTCGATCAAGTTATATAGTCTTTATACATAAATGATTAATTGATAATTAATAATAAAATAGGCCGTAACAAATGACAGTTGATCTTTTAATGAAATTAAACAAATGTGATGCGAGAGTTCGAACAAAACGTTAGAACTGCGTGAAGCGAGTGTTTATGTTAAACTATTTAGCGCGGCGCACATAATTAAAACGTTAATAATGCATTATAGCGTTTACAATTATAAAGCACGAGTTTCTGGGTCGGCGGGCTCGACGTTACACGTTTCCGTAGATATATGACGAGGTATCTCGTTTTCGTTCGTATTTCGTTACGACTACTCGTTCGACTAATTAGCCATCAACATTTCGAAGTAATTCTATCTTGAAAACTTGCAGTTTCGCGCGTGTGCACAATTGTTAATAGTCTTCTGCGTAAATTATGTCGACGTGCGAGCCTACTTTATCGTAATGACAATTTAAAAGCAGCAAACAGAATAGAAAGAAAAATTTGTTTAAAACGAATATTTCTTCTCTTTTTTTCCGTGCTCCTTTCTTTTTTTTTTTTTTATATAATTTCTTCATTGCTTTTCATAATTTTTCATATTTTAATAGAGAGCAATTATCAAAAAATTACATTTTTCTTGATTAAACAGTTAAAACAAGGATATAAAAATTATAGAAATTACACACAAAATGATATTTTTTTCCTATAATTTTATAATATTTTTATATTCAATTTTATATATTATAATACATATTTTTATAAAGATATCTTTCACAATTCACGAAGAGATAGATACACACGCATATTTGCCAATTAATATTTTTCCGTTTAAATAAAATAATAAAAGTTTCAATCATTATTAGTCATGAAATAGTGGAAATCCGTAATGAATCTTTTTCTCGCTCATTTTTGCGAATCGATATACTACAGGAATATTTCAAAGAAATAAAACCAATATTTTTCTCTCTCCTTCTCCAAGAAATTTATACTTTCCAACTGTGTGCAGCACGATTAAAATTCGACGTATTTGAATTGAAGTTGTTTTGACATATGCGAGGGAAGTTATTGCAATTCTTCTCCCAGAGAGCTAAATAGCTCCGAGTTTAAGGACCTCTTTCGCTCTCTCGTAATTCTTGCACCTAAACGCACCAATTGACAAATGTGTTTTCCATGTTTTCCTCGCCTCGCCGTTATTTAAATGAAATATTAGAAATATCGCCGGTGAACGGAGGAACAGGCGCTTCTCCGTCGTCGTTCAATTATCGCGCGTCGAACCGAGAGGCGTCAAACTCGCGGCAAGAATCCGCGCTAAAAATCCACGGAGGCGAAAAGGGGGGTCGCATCTGCGAAACTTGCGGATGCAAGTCGCGCAGAGAGCGACGACGGCTGCAGCTGCGGCGGCATGCAGTCACGTGGCGCAGAGAGGAGATACTCGAGGAAGAGAGACGGAATAAAAAGAGAGAGAGAGAGAAAGAGATATCCGTATCTCTTCTTCTGTGCGTTTCCCGCGCGCGCACCGGGGAATGCATACCGACGCAAAATGCAACGTGGGGAGTTTAAGGCCCGTTCGCACCGTTCGTTCGTTCGTCGCCCATTGTCGCCGCCGTTGCGGCCATCATCATCATCATCGACGTCACGCCGGGTCGAAGTACACGCATAAATCGATGCCATCGGACGGACAATCGTCGTTTCCCTCTCTCTCTCTCTCTCTCTGTCACAGACGACGTTACGACGCGCATTATTTATGCACGGTGCTTGCGTGCCGCGAAAATGCCCGACGAAAGTTCAGGGATACGTTCAGCGTTCCGAGAATCGGACGGAGAAGGAAGAGATATACTCTTCTGCAAAAGAGCGCGTTTAAACGCCGCTTATTTCGTACGAATACCCCTTTTCATGCCTGATCGCGAGTCCTTTCTCTCCTCCTGATTGCACACGTCGAAAGACATCCAGAGGATATCCTGAAAATATTCAGAGAACATCCAGAGGATCGAGAGGAATTCAGAGGATATCCTTTGAATGTCTTTCAAAAGGATATCCAAGAACATCCAGAGGATCGAAAGAATATCCTTTGAATGTCTTTCAAAAGGATATCCAAGAACATCCAGAGAATATCCAGAGATTGTCTTTCAAAAGAATATCCAAAGAAGAAGGGGATACTCACAGGATCGAGAGAATATCCTTTAAATGTTTTTCGAAAGGATATCCCCTGAATATTCTCTGGATGTCATTGGATATTCTCTAAATGTGTCAAGAGAATATATCCTCTGGACATCCTTTGAATGTCTCTCGACGTGTGCAAAAGAATATCCAAAGAAGCAGAGGATACTCAGAGGATCGAGAGAATATCCTTTGAATGTCTTTCAAAGGATATCCAAAGAACATCCAGAGGATATCCAGAGATTGTCTTTCAAAAGAATATCCAAAGAAGCAGAGGATACTCAGAGGATCGAGAGAATATCCAGAGAATATTTTTTAAATGTCTTTCGAAAGGATATCCCCTGAATATTCTCTGGATGTCATTGGATATCCTCTAAATGTGCCAAGAGGATATATCCTCTGTATATCCTCTGAATGTTTCTCGACGTGTGCAATCAGGAGAAGAGAGAGAGGAGTCAGAGCACATCCTCCTGGATGTCCTCTGAATATGTATGCCTTGATATAATCGGGGAAAAAAATTTATCACGAACACGGGCGCGCAAGAGACGTCATTAACCAACATTAATGTCATGAGTATATGTAAAACTTATTCATGAAGCGCGTCCTATCCCCCTTTCACATCAAGGTCCTTCTGCGCACTTGTCCATATACGTACATATATATATACGCGCAGTTATCACGTGCGCGCTATTAATTACGTTGCTATACAAGTTATATAGTTATCTATGGTACAATATTGTTGCAACTCGAGTAACGCGTAGCGAGCACAATAATTGGTGCTCTCTCCGGCGTGCAATCGCGTTCCTCCTTCTCTCTCTCTCTCTCTCTCTCTCTCTCTCTCTCTCTCTCTCTACCTCGTCGAGAAATTTTTTTTATTAGGCCGCCCGAGCGATAAGTGCTGCGCATTTTTCTTGCAGCGATGCGTTCCGTCTCGACGCGGTGTGAATTCAACTTTAACCGTGAATCGCTCGGACCTTCGTACGTCAAGAGAGACATCTTAACATGTAGGGCGTGAACGCGGATGTACGCTGCTTCTCTTTCGGCCTCAATAA